CTTATTAAATAGTTATAAATGTATTTTACTAAGTAGTTGAAATTAATTAAACTTTATATTACAGGCTGAAGGTCGTCAAGTAAACGTTCCAGCTTAATTACCAGAATGGGACTCCAGAGTTAAAATTTTTCATCTGCTCCATTAACTTGTTGATTCTTGACTATTTGGCTAAATATTTCTGGACTCGATCAACAAGTTTAGTTTGCAATTATGCATAAACAGCATTAATATTTACTTAGGAAGGATGAATTGTGACCTCTACAAAACAATGCATTCGACGTTTAAAAACAAAGTCAATATTAAGTGCATGAAATTTGTTTCAAAACATTCCTCTTACTAATATATGAATAGCTTAAAATTTTATTTTTTATTAAAGTTAATAGCATTTCTGTGATTAATAGTTATATACAAATATATATTATGTTATAATTTGGAGTGGATATGATATAAATGTATCATCCTCCAATACGTGTATATTGGGATATCTCCAAATCCAATATTAATCTTTATTTATTCAGTTAAAAACTTCAAACTGTAAGGACCAATTTAATAATCGTGCGTGTCTTTTTGAATTTTATTTTATTTCACAGTTACAATATTCACATATATAGCCAATAATTTTTTAATCATTCTTCACTAATGATATATGGTAATATTTAATGTGCAGCATGGGTCCATAAAAGATGTACTTTTGCACCTCATTTGGTAATTTATGTAATCATAATATATTAATATAAAATATTTTTATTTTGTATATGCACTTTCATGCACCGAAAGCTGTTTTTTGCAGTTTTACAATGGATACAGGCAAAATTTAATCTCATCTTCCCCCCCAAAAATGCTTTGTTATGTGTTGTACATAAAAATATAAAATTATTTACTTTTATCTGTGAAATGACTACAGTGGACTGAATTAAATCATTTATTAATTTAGAGCTAAGCTTAGAATGTTGTCTTAAAGACTGCATCAGAAATGAGCCAATACTCAAATATAGCTAATGAAAATCACCAAATTAGTGTAAACCAAAAACAACTGTCTGAAACTTCCATGTAAAATTATTGCTTTTCACATGTCTTTCCAGTATGGTTTAATATACAGATTTGTTACTTAGGTTCTAAGCAGAATTGTTTGTGCTTGATATGGAGTAATTTCAAGATGTTTCAATTAATAAAGTGATGTACTCAGCAGCCGACTCCAATTGTCTAAATTATGGTCCATATTTGATATATACAAAAGAAACATTATAAAAGCATAGTTATATTATTTGTTTACTTGCAAAGCTAATCCAATGTGTGTAAATATCACAGTATAGACTAAATTAACTAATATAAAGTAACTGTTTTTTAATATAAACTTTTTTTTGTTTGTTTTTTAAGAATAAAACAACGTTAAGCATTTTGAATCTAACTGAACATATTTAAAATTATAAAGATGAAAAGCAAACTTGAATTAGATAATGTGAATGTGTTTTCAGTTTTTTTTAATTGTAACAAGACAAAGAAAATTGAAATTTGTTTTATAATCAATTTAATTTCATTTCCATTGTTATAAATGATGGTGCTTTTTCTTGTTTTGGATATTAATTTTTTGTAATAAATTTCTAATTCAAATTTGTTTAATTTTCAAAATGCCTAAACGTCTTTTAATGTTTTTGTAAAGCAAAATAAATGCAATATTGTTGATGTGCAATTATTTGATATTAAATTAATAATTATATTAATTGAACAGAGTTCTTAATATGATACAGACATCAATACCGAGTGGCAGTGTCATAGCTAACTTGTGTGAATGAGAAATCTTTAAAAAATTTAAATGGAACCATTAGTTTTAAAAACGTGAAATTACATATTGTTCTTTGTATGGTGAGTGCAATTAGATGAGAATTTAAAGTCGCCGTCAAGTACTTGACTCGTAAATTCCAAGCGTGCATACTAATTCGGAAACGGGTCTTTTCCAATTTATACTTGTAGATCGTGCTACCCGTTCGGAATTGTGCTTTGCTATTAAGTAACTACTTATGGTACTGCCGAGCAGAGATGCAACTGCAAGTATTTCTGTTAGAAATTATTACAGCTTCACATCAGAATAGTTCATCACTGGTGAATAATTTTGTGACAAATGAAATTTTATTCTACCAATAAATATCGTCTCTTGGTGAAAAACTCTGAATAAATATTTATCATTGATATTAATGTTGTATTTCATTTAAAATTTAATACAAAATGTATAACCACCTCTTTCACAAGATACAAATGTTTTGATTTTATCATTAATTTCAAATAATTTTCTCTCTCCAAAATTTGTAATTTATTTTTAAAAATTTCCATTTCTAATACTTGTAATTCCTTGTTCAAAATTATGAAATCAGACACACACACACTTTCTTTATTAGTAAAGAATGATTTTTTTGAATTTCACCAATGACCTGGCATATGATACAATTGTTAGATTGATAACTCAGTCAAATGAAATATTAAGAATAAATTATTTATACAAGATAAAACAATTCAATATATAAAGTAAATGGATAATTTTTTTATAGATATTGTTTTTTGGACTTGAATCAATTTCACTTTATAATATTTTATAAAGTTAGATGATATCTCAGAATATTCATTATATAAGTTTAAAATTTTTAGAATGCAAAAATTTAATAAAACAGCCTGCAAAATAACTCCAAAGTTGGAAAGTAGAATTTGCTTTTAATAGAGGATGAAAAGAATAAACACTAAATTAACAAATATCAACAAAATTTAATGTTCTTGCACTTTTGAGCTTTAACTCTCATCTTCTGGAGGTTACCACAGAAGCAAAAAGAATAAAACATAGTAATAACAAAAATAAGCAAATACTTTATTTTTGAGGTTCTAAGATTAATGTTTAAAAAATTATGAGAGGTGTCAACAGATAGATGGGACCATTGAAAAGTTGTGAAATTTCCAGATACATTGGTGGGACTTGTCACCTCCCTCTGGTCTATATATTTCCTGTACTGCTTGAACAAATCCCATCCAACCATTGATATCAATAATGTAATGTTTTATTTTTTTCACTTTCAAGATGACAGAACTTTCAAATAAATGCCTGAAAATGAAGTGTGTTTTATCTTGAAAGTGCTAGATTATTCAGTTTTAAAATCATTTTCTACTTAACAATTTAATTATAGAGCACTCCACTATCAAAGATTTGCATTAACTGGGATGACAAAGATTACCGATGGCCACTCGGCCCACCAGTGGCCATCCGTAACTAAAAGCCACAAAACACGTGTTCGGTTGTGGGATGGCCATATGGCAATTTCTAGATTTACTTCACATTAGTAACACCTAAATAGGGGGTCAGTTTCCCCTTAAGACCTCTAAGGATTCATCCCCTTGGCAGATCATCCACGTGTCACATTGCTATATACAAATAAAACCTATAGACCATCATTTAATTTATAGACCTATAGACCAAACCAAGCCTATAGACAAATCATTTAATTTTTGGTTATAAATATAGACATATAAGTTAAGAGTTAACCAATAAGCATTCACATACTAAAAATTAAGTGAACGATAATGGGTTAATTTCTAACTCTTTGATCCTTGTGGATATGACCATTGTCATAAATTACTTTAAACTCATCTACTTTCTGCTATTGGCCAGAATGGGAAGAAGATTGATAAGGAATGATATACTTTGCTAATGTGCACTTTATTACAAGAGATAGTTTTATGCATTTTTTTCTTTTCTTGTTTCATGAAAATTTCTGCTTCATTTACTGGGTATAGGATTAAATGGGATATTTTTTCCCCATAAATGGGATACAATTGAACTATAAAGTATTTAATTCTTGTACTTTACCTACTATATACAGTCTTATACAATATGTTTTCATAACACTGAATTTAGCAAATTATTACTTGTGTATTCATGTACAGTACATATACAGGTTGACATTTATCTTTTAGAATATAAACTGAAATTAACATAGAAATTCTTATTAAATTTGAAACTGTCTTCCGGCACACTGCCGAGGAAAATCATACAAATTATTTTATTCCAAATAATAATTAAGATGGTTTTATGGTAATTTGTTTCCTAATCACACAATTTTTGAAATTCATATTATTGAAAATTATATCTATGCTTTTAACAAGCAAAATTATATAGCAAAGTGAAAAACTTTCTGAGAACATCATTAATTCACATTTATTGATGGCATCATCAATAAATGTGAATCACAATATCAAATAATTTTGGCAAGAAAGCATTATTACTTTTTCAGAATGTTTTATAAAAGCACGAAAAGACATTTGTCAATTGTACACAACAAATTATTTAATGTTATTATGTAATAGGGGCAAACTTTTGATTTTATAAACAATAGCCAAATAAACATAATTTTACTTTATATATATATATATATACACATATATATAAACCAGCAACAGGTTGCTCAACTTTTCAAGCAATATTTAAACTTTTGGTGGCAGCACCATCTGTTCTATTATAAAATAAGTTTTTTTTAATAAAATATTTAAAAATATAAGCTTAATTTTGAGGGTAGGTATGAGTTTTATAAAAAATTGTAAATGCTAATAATGAGTATAATTATCATGAAGTCATAGGGTCAAACTTCATGACAGATAAGAATGATTTCTCATTATATTCAGATTGTCATCCAATTCTTCAGATATTCTATCCTTGTGAGAAATTTAATTTTCCAAAAATTCATATTGTTCATGAAACTAACAATTCTATACTTTCACTGCACATTCCAACAATTAGGATTTGTACTAAGAAATTATTACTGTATTTCTCAATATATCTGATGTATTATCTATGTATGCATGCATGTATTTTGTCATAAATTTCCAGGACAATATTTATGGACAAAAATTACATTGGATTAGATGATTATTATATGCTGCTTTTTATCTGATAAATTATTATGTGCCATTCTGTATATCAAAATTTTCTTTCAGTGCATAATAAAATACCACAAATATTTTGGAATCAAAATTTTTATTGCACTATGGAAAAAATATAATCCAATAATATATTTCTTATAAAATATCAAATTAAAATATATTAGTTATATTAATTGTAACTGATGAAAACTGGAAATACAATTGAATCTTGAAAGTTCTTCATTAGACAAAGGAGCATTACCTTCTCGCAACAGAATTGCAACTTGCATTTTTGCTTTTAAAGCCGCATCTGCTTCTAAAATTGCATAAAATTATTAGATGGTTATGTAAATATAGAAAAAAGTAAGTCAATTTGAATTATGATTAAAGCTTGATATGTAATATAAATTCCAATCAAAGCAGAATCTTATAAAAAAAAATTAATACATTACATTATTTTTTATTACTTGATTCTAAATACACTTAAATTTAGATGATACATATTACATTCTTTAAATTAATAGCAAATAGTAAACAAAGAATTTATTTTTACAAATATATCAGTTGTTCTTCAGGACTCTTGTATATCTAACCCCCAAAATTAGCACACACACACACACACAGAAAGACAATACAGTAGAGTGTCGTTTATCCGAAAGAATTTCAGTTGGCAAATTTAAATTCTTGCTAGTGCTGTGGCGCTGCAATCTTTGGCTATATCTTGGGCTACTCCAATATTTTTTTTCTTGATGTGTGTTTTTAGCTGGCAGCACTGGCACTTTTGTGTGGTGTTTTTCTCAGGACTGTGTCGTGCTGAATCGAATGTTTTTGATACTAGATCAACTTCTAAAGTATATTTTTTTGTACAAAATAAAAAAATAATTTTTAACGATACAATAGCCACGATTATTATTTTAAAAAGTTTTCATTAGGCTTAACATCAACAAAAATTCAACGCGAAGCGACACGCAATGGAGAAAAATTTCAACATGGGATAGGTTAATGTATTTTTTGTACATAATCGGTTATCGGAACAACCCCAGTCCTCAATTGATTCGAATAACGAAGCTCTACTGTAATTACATAACATTAAACAAACAATTTAAATTAAAAACTGTATAATGCATTTTTAAAACAAATAAAATTTTTTTTATTTCTTAATTTAAATTTTGAGAGATAAAAAAACCATCTTGTACATTAATTTTTCATATGAGTGTATTTATTATGATCAAAAAAATAAAGCAAGCAATCAAAATATTTGATATACTCAAAAAATGAAGGAAAACCTAATCTAATCTAATCCTAGCTTTGCAAGGATTCTGCTAGGAAGTTATGCTCTTAACATACAGGGTGAACCAGAAGTAGGAATAGGATTATGGTTGAAAAATTATATTTCACCATTTCGTGCTTCAACAACCCTTTTTGCACAAGTACCTTTGTGTATTAATTTCTTGAAATGCATCTCTGGTGTATACTTCAAAGCTGTAAATTATGATGAACAACAGTTTGAGCACCTGCATTGGTAAGATTGTATTGTAATCTCAACATTTATTGAGATTACGTATACATATAAATTTTATCATTTACTGTCCACCTACTTTTTGGTTCACCCTGTATTATAAAGACCAAACTGAATCTGTTTACAACTTTTCATTTAGTTATATTGAACATCACAATTAAATTTTTAAAATAACTAATATGTCACACTGATATGTATTAAAGTGGCTGTAGAAATTAATGAAGTATAAACCTAAATGATATACCTGAGAACTGAAGAGGGCTTGAACCTAGTACCTGGCCAAAATGCATATTGTGAACAATTTAAACATGGAATTTTTTAAAATAAATGTGGCTCTTTGATGATAGTGCCTTCATTTCATTATTTTGATAGTCTTGGTTAGAAAGAGGCTGTAGAATTTACTGGTTTGATGTATTAGTCATATTGAACATTACAACTTTTCATTTAATTAATTGACAAAATTTGCATAAGCCACTCAAATATAAAATAATAGAACTTAATGATATAAAAAATAAAGCAATTTAAATCATGAACAATAATTATCCTCCCAACAGCTTCAATTATGACCTATAAGAATTCCATAGATGGTCAAATTCAGTTATATTAGTCTTTAAGCATTATAGATGATCAAAGTTTCTATTGAATAATGTTCTTAAATTAACTATCCTTATTTAATTCTCCTGACAGATTCTATTATAATTTACAAACTTGTTACAAGCATTCAAGTTTAAGAAAACAACTGTCCAATTTGCTTGTAATCCTAAATTTTTTTATTGTAATAATATTCTTAAATCAGTTTAATTTTTAATAATAAAACAGAAGTAATGAAAACAATTCAAATTTCTTAAAAAGAAGTTTATTGGAGCTAACTGAAATTTAATAACAGTTTCTCAAGTAGTTTTGATAACGATCTTTTAATTTTAGAAAATTACCATTGTATTCATTTGGTTCTCATCAATCCTCTTCATATATATTCCATACTATCAATCTATGTAAACTACAAATTTCCATTTTTAATAAAGTAAAAATTACATTTCAGATACTAAACATATCTTTGTAAAAACATTTTTTACAAAGATATGTTTAGTATCTGTAATGTAATTTTTAGTTTATTAAATCATAATTTCCACCAGTCCTTTTTTACAAAAAAAATACAAATTTCCACATAATTATAATTTTCACAGTTACTTTCTAATTTTAAAATTTACATATATTAAATAAATGTAAATTATTTACCTTTTGTTACATCTGTTAAAAACAAAATATTTTCTGGAGCTACTCCTATATATTCTGCAATCTTTACATAACTATGATGATCGAATTTTTGTCCTGTGTTTGTATCAAAATGGCCATCTATAAACTTATATATAATAAGTTTTAATTAGTATTTTATTGACATTTAGAAATTTATATTTAAACAATAATTTTTATATAATTTACATCATTTATAATTAAATATTCATTACATTCAATAAATCATTCTTAAGAAATTTCTAAGAAATTATTTTTATTTTTATTTTTTTGAAAAGGAAATATTCATCATTTTGATTTTAAATTTTTTTCATAATGTTTTATGCAAACAAATAAATCATTATTTTATATCTAAAAATTAGATAAATGTTCAGTTTTTTTTTATTACCTGTAACAAATTTCCATAGTTACTGTACTGAAAAAGTAATTTCTGTGCTTCAACACTTCCTGATGAATATATGTAAATTTGTTTACCTTCTTTTTTCCAGCTTTCTAAACAAGAAGGAACATCTTCATAGACACTAATTATTATAAAAATGAAATAAATTATAAACTTTTTGATAATTAATCAATAACCTTAACATAATACTAGCAATATATTTTATATGTAATTAACTACTAGTGTTGATTAATAAATAATTTCCTACTGCATTATTCTATGAAGTGTGGGGACAGAAACATGCAACCATCATACTTTAGTAGCCATAAGTATCTAGGCCAGGGATGACAAACTTATGGTACAAGTGCCCAAAGTGGCACTTTGGGAGAAATCATCTGGTGCACAATGTACCTCATGATTTCATTTCATTACCTGACCATTCTTTTTTCATTTTTTTACATTTATTATAATTAAAGCATATTTGTTTTGTTTCTTTAAATATCATAAGTTGATCGTGTGCTTGTGGTTGCTTGAACAATTGCAGCACATGATCAACTTAAACTGCATTCAAATTGGAACATACAATTTCAGTTAATATTTTGCAATGAATACATCAAGGATAGTTGTTGAGAAAATCAAAAATGAAGACTGCCCTTAAAACAACTGCAAGCATATGATCAATGTAAATTGCATTAGAATTTAAAAACATATTAAAAAATCCAGCAATGTGTTGCTTAACTCTTTAAGTTCTGATAATTATTTCTATGTTGTTAAAGACTAAATTGTTTCTATCCTTTAGGCTACATGGGAACTTGTATAGCAAAACTAGTCACACAACTTTTCCATTGGATGTTTTCATTTTGAATGGGTAAGTCTTATTTAGGCCAATTTCATGTTTAAAGAGTTAACTTTCCTGGCAACATTTAAAACTGCATGCAACATAATAAATCTATTATGTATTTTACTATAAAACTTTTTATATTTTTAATTATTATAAAATGACAAAAAGTTTAATTTTGAGGATAGAAATGAGTTTTATAAAAAAAACTGTAAATGTTAATAATGAGTAAAATTGTTATTAAATCCGACCCAACTCAAGATATGGCACATGATCCCACTATCTCCCCATCCCTCAACCTTTAACAACCAAAATTTAATATCATCAATCCCCTAATACACAAACCTCCCTGCAAAATTTCAGAAACTTTTGCCCAAAAATCATGGGATTTATTAAGCTTCAAAGAGAATTAACAAAATTGTATCCATCCACATACATATACACCCACTAATAACCATATATACAAAAAAAAATCACCCAAATTTTTTGCGTTTCTCAACGTTTCAAGGTCCCAAAATGTAAAAATCTTGGATGATCATTTTTTGACCAATTGCCATACTTTCTCTCTGTTATATATACGAGCCAGGAAAGTAATATACATTGAAGACTTATACAAAAAGAAAAACTTTTGAAGTCTTCTAAATGCCCTTTCACAATCATTGGAACACAATCAAACATTGATGAAGTCAATCTTCTTTTATAGATTCTTCCCTGCCTATATTTATGTAAATTGTCTATTCATGCCGGATTTTTAATTTGCATAAATATAGGCAGGGAAGAACCTATAAAAGATCAACTCCACCAATGTTGATTGTGTTCCAGTGATTGTGAAAGGGCATTTAGAAGACTTCAAAAGTTTTTCTTTTTGTATAAGTCTTCAATTTATTTTTTGCATGTTTTTAAATATATATTTCATCCTAAATTTAAAAAATTTTTTTCTTTGCATTAGAATTGGAACCAGAAGTTATCTTACACCTTCCTTACAGTTAAACTTAAAGATATTGAAAAGTAAACGATTTTCATTAGATGCTGAAGTTCAAGCTGATATGTGAGAAATGATTGAAGAAAACTAGAAAATTTTTTCCATGAATAAAATGAAAACAGACTGAGAATTTTGAAAAATGCACCACGTTAAATCAGTGGGGCTGAAACTATAGCCTCCCACGTCAAATCTGACCCATAAATGCATTTGACACATCATTTATAAATGATAGAAATAAGTAATACATACAAATATTTTTGTATATATGAAATATAAAAAATATTTGTGGCATATCTACAACTTATGTGCAATTTGGCAGACTAATCAAAAAGTTTGGGCACCACTGCCCTAAATAATGATACAGTAATACCTCGAACTTACGCGATAGGTGGAACCAAGCGATAACTGCATAAATAAATAACTAAATGCTTACTGGAAATATTACAGTCGACCCCCCTATAAGATATAGATACGTTCCAATTTATTAGGAATCCGATTTCTTACAAGTCGTTCCAATCACAGCCCGACACGTGTCAAGTTTACGGACTACGGCTGATTGAAAGGTTTTCTTCCATAAAACTAATCGATTCTACACTAATCCGACTCAACATTTCCAAAATACGTATATTTTTTCGTAGTTTTATAGGAATCGTAATTATAGGGACCGTAATTATAGGGGGGTCGACTGTAAATAAAAATAAACAAACACCTTTCTCTATTCCAGCACACTTTTAATGCGTTGAAAAACATTTTCGATCGTTTTAATCGATCATCATCAGTTCAAAATTCGAACTATACAACGAACAAAGTATTCGAAAAAATACAAAAAATTTCACATCGCTTATTTACAACTTAACGCTAAAGCGCATGCGCATACTTATAAAACGTATAGATTAAACCTAAGTAATTAAAAATAACAGCATTATATATCAATTAATATTATAAAAACAAATAATAACGCCGCCTATGCGGTTGCAAAAGTTAATCTATGCTATCATAAAAGGACTTCCAGGCTGTTGATAAACTTTCAGCATCTCTGTAGTTGATGCACTGCGCGGTCGTATGCGCCTTGTGTATTTCAACTTTTTCCAGGTGTTTCACCGCTTGTATTGATCTTGTAGGTTTAATAATCGCGACCTGATCCCAGTATACTTCAATTCCTTGTTGCTTTGAAAATGCTGCGAGGACTGTGCTATCAAGGCTCCTATTTATTTACTTTCTAGCTTTCTTAGCACCAACTCACAAAGAACAGCTGACATTGGGCTACCCATTGGTACGCCCCGTCCTTGCAGATATGTTATATAATAATATATGCAAGGTATGTAGATGATATCTTCGTTTTGTGGAAAAATAATAGAAATACACACCATTTTATAAGCTTAATCAACAGTAACCCTTATGGTCTAACATTAGAACTAGACCAGGAGAGTAAAAATAGTGTTAATTTCTTAGATTTAACAATTACATGCAAAGAGGGTGAGATCAAAACGAATATTTACCGTAAGCCAGTTTATCAACCAATCATCATACCTAAGAATTCCTCAGATCCAGAACATATCGAATTGGCAGCATTTCGATCATGGATTACAAGGGCTTACACACATTGTACCAGCATATATGACACTTATAAAGAATTGGAGTATATACGGAGCATAGCTGAGCAACAGGGATACGGAAGAAAGGCAATCGATGCACTGATAACAAGGATGCAAAAACGGAACCGGCAACAAAGAGCAACTGAACTAAGGGAAAGAATTGTAATTAATTACCATCCGTCTCTAAATAAAATTATTAAGAAAGTTGCCAGAAATAGAAATGTAAAAATAATTTATAGACGTAATCCTACAGTATATAAGCTCCTAAGAAATGATAAGAAAAGATATGAACGTAATAACATGACAGGAGTGTACTCGATACCTATGAAGGACCATAGATTTAACTCCGACCTAGTATATATAGGAGCAACTATGCGGAACCTAAAGAAAAGGATTGATGAGCACAAATACTCAGTAAATAGGAGCCTTGATAGCACGGTCCTTGCAGCGTTTGCAAAGCAAAAAGGAATTGAAGTATACTGGGATCAGGCCGCGATTATTAAACCTACAAGATCAATACAATCGGTGAAACATCTGGAAAAAGTTGAAATACACAAGGCGCATACGACCGCGCAGTGCATCAACTACAGAGATGCCGAAAGTGCAAGTCATGTAACTTTTGGCACTTACAGCTTCACATAAATTCAAGTTCAAAATACAGCCTCTTACAGTGCCAATATTGCCACACCATTTTTTGCAGCAGAAAACATTGTGTTTAGAATTCAATTCTTTAATAAAATGTATTTAGAGAAAAATGGCATTTACAACATTATGGCATTGCACACTTCATTTTATTTATTACTCCAGTTGTTTATTAAAAGTTCCCCTTGGATTCTAACAGTGACTTCAGACAAGTCTATGACAGGGGATGAGATAATCTCATGGCAAGGAAAGAGAATTAGTAAAATGGGAGTTAGTAATTTAGCTCAAGGCTTTTCAGATGTAAAGTGTTTGATATACAAGGTGTTTCAGAAATTGTGTGTAAAAAAATGCAGGAATTGTAGGGAGGTTAATTTTGAGTCAAAAACTCTAGTGCCATTTTTTTTTATTTGAAGCATTCTACTTGAATTATTGGACATTAAAAAATCATGTCATTTCCTGTTTAGTGAAAATGACATCTGACATACAAAAATATCTGTTTATAATTGCATGTTAGTTTGATACTCTTCATTTATTATCTGCAATATTAATTTATTATTTGAATTTTGACCCCTTTTTAGACATTATTATTTTGAGTTTTTAGACCCTTTGACCCTGTTCGGTAATACCTGTAAAAGGCATTAATAGATTACTAACAAATAATCATTTATTTTTCCCTTATTCATTATAATCCGTATTGTTATCAAAAAACAAATTTCAAGTAATAAATTAATATTGCAAATAATAAATGAAGAATATCAAATTAACAAGCAATTATCAACAGATATTTTTATACATCAGATGTCATTTTCACTAAACAGGAAATAACATCACAGTTTTTAATGGCTTATAACTCAAAAAGAATGCTTCAAAAAAAAAAAAAAAAAAACTAGCATTTTTGGTTCAAAATTAATCTCTCTATTTTTTTTAACTAAATTTTTCTATTTCTGAAATTTTTAATATATAACAGAAATATAACAGAAATTTTTCTATTTCTGAAACACCCTATATACGTTGGAGAATAAGCATAATCTCAGACCTTGTAAGTTCCTGCATATGGAAAATTATTCAAATAATTGGCTCTACAAATGAGTTGATTAAACATCTGGATTATTACAATATAAAGTTTGAAATTCACTCTTTCTATTTGTAAATATGATAGAATTATAACATATTAAAATTAAAATAAAATTTAGATTAAAAAAATTTATTATACAGCCTACTGTGATTTTATTTCACCATTTTTGTAGCCAATTCTCCACATTTGTCCTTGAAGTTGCTTAAGAGCCGTTGTTTTTCTATCATAATCCATTTGTAACATTATATTATTAACAATAGATTTTTGCACAGCATTAATATCTTCTTCAGAAGGAGATTCTGGCAAATCTTCAATTTCAACAATTTCTTTGATTCCTTTCTGTTTATCTTCATTTACCTGGTTATAATTCAAGTATTAAGTAAATATTAAAAATGTAAATATATTAAAATATTTATATTCTCACTTGTTTCTTTAAAGCTTTGATAGTTTCCATGAGTTCAGAATTACCCCAGAATTGTTTTAAGTAGTTACATATTGCTGATCTTGCATAAGGAAATAATGTATTCTGAAAATATTAAATTGATATAAATTAATATACAGTACAGCGTCGATTTTCCGAATCAATTGAGGACTGGGGTTGTCCGGATAACTGATATTTCGGATAACTGATTTACGTACGAAAAAATAGTTTAACATATCCGATGTCTAAATTTTTCTCCGTTGCGTGTCGCTTCGCGTTGAATTTTCGTCGATGTTAAGCCTAACAAAGACTATTGTATCGTTAAAAATTATTTTTTTATTTTGTACAAACAAAATAAATATATTGAAAAATATAAAAATAATAAAAAATTATACTTCAGATGTTAATTTAGTATCAAAAACGTAAAATATTTGAGTAGCCCAAGACATAGCCAAAGATTGAAGCGCCACAGCACTGGCGAAAATTTAAATTTGCCGACTGGAATTATTTCGGATGATTGACGTTTCGGATGATTGACTTTCGGAAAATCGATGCTCTACTGTAATGCCAATTGTTTTATCATATTAATTTGTTAACAAGATTATTTTATTCCAAATATGTAATTCTATAACTCTTGCAAGTACCAGTATATTATTTGATCAACTTATTTATGTAGACTAATATAATTATTTTCAAACAGTGCATTTATAATAATATATTTTTTGATAATTATATGAAACCAATTCAAATGCATGTGGTACTCATAAGTGGTCTACAGAAGACCAAAATCCTCATTTAACTCAAAGCATGGACCTAAAACACAATAAAAATGATAAAAATATGGTTTAAGTTTAAACTTTATCATAATACAATGGAGGTATGTTTGTTTGTGTTTGAATAATATTTTTTCTTATATTGACAATAAAAATATAAGCATGTGCTAGTTTCCATAATCCTGCCCCTAAAGTTTCCATATCTGGTCTTGTCTTTCATCTAACTCTGTTCTCAAGATTAAAGAAAGATAGATGGATGACATAAGAATTTATGTTTATAATGTTTTCAAATTGCAAACCAACAACTAATCACCAGATGCTAGCCATTGGTCCCCCTCCAGATTGCTTATAGATCTTGTTGTTTCACAAAGTATGAATTCTTCAAAATTAAATCTAGAAAGTCTGTAACTATTTAAAATTTGTCTAATGATATTTTTGTTTATGCATATACATTCTCTTGTAAACAATATAGTCAGCTCTATTTTTATTGACAAGTATAGAATTTTCTAGTCTAGAACAGTCAGCTTGTCTAAAGAAATTGATTTAATGCTTTTATTGCCTCTAAGGAGCTTTAAGGAACTTACTTTACATTGTGTGCTTACTCAAGTACAGGCCTTAATACTTTGATGAGTACTCCTATATGTATACATGTTACATTTAGTGGACTCTACAGAGTAAGCACATATATAGACATTCTTCATTCTTCTAACCTAGCTAATATATTCTGTACACCAGAGTCCTGCAAAAAAACTTAATGTAGACTGAGAAGGTGACAAGTTACTGAAAAGAAGAGTTTTATGGCATAATGATAATGCCAGTCTAAGTAGCAGAATTTTCATAATGGTATTATATGTACAGTACATTTTCACATACTTATTAACTAAGTACCAATAGTAACAATTTCTACTCGTAATTACAATTTAATTTTTAAAAATATTGACTATTCAGCAGCTACTTTTGTGTTAGTGACATTCACATTGTGGTGGCACTTTAGAACAAGAATTATTATATTCTTTGCTAAAATATGGAATTGATGCTATTATTAAGTGTTGCCAGTGAAGAACCATAACTTGATTGTAGTGCAAGTTATAGAGGTAAAAATTAGATTACACGTATTTTATTTTATTCATTGTTTGAATGATGCAATGAGTTTTACAGAATGTCAAATCATTGAGAGTCCAGTTTCTAGGACTCTACTGTATCAAGTGATAAAGTCTTCTGTTGTTACTGCAAGCTTTTTGACACTTGCAACTTGTAAGTACTTTTAATAACTGGCTAAACTTTCATACAAGAATAGCCTCAGCTAGTGTTATATGAATGTCTGGCTTAAGAACTCCAAAAAGCATTTGTAATCTATGCTCAGTTGCTGTGAACTGCAGCAGCAATCTGAAGAAACATTAATGAAGTATAGGAAGAACGAGACCAACAAGAGAAAAGCGCCATAGAAAAATAAAATAAGAAACAAAATGCTGGCATCAAGTTTTTGAGTGACCAATAGCCACTGTACAGTTCCTATCAGAAAGAAACTTGATATTTCATGGATCTGAAGAACAAATAAGAACTGCTAGAAAAGTTTTATTCAATAATGCAAGATCTGCAAAAAATACAGAATAAGGAAATATATGACTATTACTTAGGTTCTAAATCTTCCCACAACTGGTTATGTACTAGTAAATAACACCAACAAAACCTTCAAAAATATACAGTACTAGCAAATATAGTTTAATATGAATATGCTATGACATAGCATATTTTTTAATTAAACTATATTAAACTATATTTAGAAAGATCCTCTATCACCTCTACCTAGGAGTTCCAGAAGGTCTTAATTTGCCACTGGATTTACTATTAAATATTTTAAGTTGTAAAATTTGCAAATATTTATAATCAATACAAAAATTATAATTTTTAATTCAAATTCTAATAATGATAAACAGAATGTTTAGTTAGTAACTAAAAAATCATTCACTTTTTTGAGATGGGGTGGTGTGTAGTAGTAGAATTATTCATTTTTAAGTGTCCTTTAATCCAATCATAGAAACCTGGCAACATACTTATAAATGATAGAAATAAGCCTACTTTTGGTATACAAGGTCTGTTCAAAAAGTATCGGACCTTTGGTCGGCAAAAATAAATTTATTGACTTTGAGGTACAAAACCCTAATCCCCTTCAAAGTAGTCTCCTTGGTAATGTATACACTTCTCCCAGCGTTCCTGCCATTGCTGGAAACACTGCTGGAACGCATCTTTTGGAATGGTTATCAGCCGGTCCGTCGCATTTCGCATGATGTCTTCTCTCGACTAAATTTGGGTTCCTTTTAGCGGCATTTTCAGCTTGAGAAATAGCCAAAGGTCACACGGAGCCATGTGGAGAGAGTACGGAGCGTGACGAACCACAGGAGTATTGTGTTTGGCGACGAAAGCCCGAATCAGATGCGCAGAATGGGCGGATGCGTTATCACGATGGAGCTGCCAAGTTTTGATCGACCACAGATCCGGTCGTTTGCGTCGCACTGTATCGGAAAGACGACGAAGGACCTCCTGGTAGTACTCCTTTGCGATGGTTTGGCCTTGTGGTGCGTACTCACGACACACCACCCCACGAGAGTCGAAAAAACTGTCAACATGACCTTTGATATTGCTGCGGACCTGCCGCGCTTTTTTTGGCCTCGAGGATCGTCCCCGAAAGCCTGCTGAATCTTGCGAATGATTTACACTAGGGTATCGTCAAGGTTTTTGGCAAAATTTGATGTAATACCGCTGCTCGCGTTGTTCAGTCATTTTTCAGCTTAGTGGAATCCGACGAGAGCGCTCTACATGACCTCACTCATAGGCCGATTGCCAACGACTGACGCTTCCTGCAGGCAGGAAAAAATTCAGAGATGTGCATGACTGTCCTCTCCACAACTCCACCAAAGGAGGCCTCTCGCGCATCATTGGTTTACGCGGAAAAAAATAAGGTCCGATACTTTTTGAACAGACCTTGTATATGGAATATACAAAATATTTGTGGCCTGCCTATCTATGACTTATTCACAATTTGATTTGCCAATCAAAAAAATTTGGATACCACTGAGGCTACTCTAAAGGAAGCAATTTTGCAAATTAAGGCTGCTAAGTATTTTGCAATAATTCTTGATTGCACTTTTTACTTCAGTCATCATGAGTAAATATCAATGGTAATTAGATATGTAGCTGATGAATACAATCAAATGCACTAGTGGAAATATACAGTACAAACAATAATTTCTTTCTAGTGGAAAGTAACACAGGTGAAAATCTGTGCAACATCCTTCTACACAAACTTCAAACATTAGAGTGGATATTAAAATATCCATGGACAAAGGTATGATAATGGTGTCAATATAAAGGGACATACCTCAGATAAGCAGGCAGGACTTCTAGAGAATTCAAGAGCTTTCTTTACAACTGCATCCAAACAACACAACTACAACCTAATTTTGGAAGATGTGGCCAAAACAATGATTGTCTAATGCAATATTTTTTGGAACTCTGCAGTGTATTTACACACTTTTTGCATCATTATTTAAAAGATATAGAAAGTATGAAAGATGTATAATATCAAGCTGCTGAAATTTGTGATGAGCTAGAAAAGTTAGCAGAAAATACTGATGATACTCAAGCAAAAACATGATGCTTAATTATTAGTCAGTCAAATAACAGATTATGTTTTTTATCTTGCTAGTTTTCTAGTGCTCTTTACTCTTATAAGTGAATTTTGTGAATAAGAAACTCCATAGTAATACCTTGAATATTACTACAGAGTTTTCTTCATCCCATAAGCTTTGTAACTGGTTAAAGAATACAGAGAAAGGTTTTAATGACTGATACCAATGAACCTGCCAAAGACCTAGCCATTTAAGCCTGTACTCAAGACTCTGAATAAATACTTATGCTAAAAAAGAAAATTATTTGATCATGAATCTGCAGATATAATTTTGTCAAATCCAAAAACAGCTTTCAGAGTTTCATGTTTGCAGTGCTTTATCTGCACTGCAAACATATGGGCCACTGTTTGACCAACTGAAAAAACATTCAAATTTATTTGGATTTTTTGTGCAATTCCAAGACCTGTCCAAGGATACCAAAAGAAAAATGTGCAGCAGATTTGGAAATGCCATTGTCAGCTGTTCTTTTTCCTGTTGACAAATTAAAACCACAAAACTGGCTGATACAGATGATTACCTGCTTTGTGAGGGGGGCATATAAGTCAATTCTGCCAATAGAAATTCAAAACCCCATGAAAATGCTTGAATTCCTTGCTTACAACAACTGGTCTACTGCATTTTCCAAATTTATTTATTGCTCTTCAGATTTTCTTGATAATCTCAATGACTGTGGCATCAGGTGAAAGAAGTTTTTCAAAGCTGAAACCAATCAATACCTACCTGATATATCAATTTGCCAAAAATGAACCGTCTGTCAATTATGTCTATTGAATCTGAAATTTGGAGGAGTTTAAACTTAGACAAAAATCCTAAAAAATTTTGCAGAGAAAAAGCAAGAATGGTAACTTAAGAATGATGATAAAAGGCAATAATAATATGACTTATTTATAAGTTTAAACTAAGAATACCACAACTTTAACTTAATTGAAAACATCCAAAGAGAGGAAACAAGTCAACTTTCAAAATACATCTCATATCTGAATGCCCACTACAACGAATGATGTCTTTTAGTACTCATCGCAATATTCAAATCAAGGAATCCCAGGATTACAAATTTCTTGAAGCACATTTATGAAAAATTCTAAAATAGTGCTAGTAAAAATTGTAAGCTTGATAAAAGAAAACAATGCAACACTTGGGTGATCTGCTAACGGATGCCTTTCAGGAGGACTTTCTATTGGAAATTGAACCCCCATTTAGGTGTTTGTCAACACCTTCGCTCCTTATAAAAACAAAAACGGTTCCTGGAATGGGAGGAAGCGGGTTGGCGCAGGTGCTGAAAGACTGTTGTTTTCGGGAGAGAAAGAGAGGAATTTTGGGCAAGGAAAAGAGAAGAAGCTATCCTGTGGACTGATGGTGTGTGGCGGATTGTTGAGTCGGTGTCATTCATATATGTTAAAATGTGTGTTTTTTGGAGGGCTCGAGAAATAAATGTGATTACAAGGTTCTAGTGCATCGTCTGACTTAATTAATGAGCCAGGACTATGGTCCCTCACAGTGTAAACACTTTAAGTGAACCTGAAAACATCCATGTGTCTAGTCCGTTGGTCAGGTGTGAACCAGCAACCAACTACAAGTGTTCAGTGGTTTTATCCATTCGACCATGGTGCCCGTGCTAGTAAAAGTTGGTAGGGAGCGACTCTGTTCTCAGCGTCAGTTTCTACTTGTTTCAGTGACGTTTTGTGAAATTGATTAGAATTAATAGGAGGGAACAGAAACTATATAGATTTTTTCCCATTATAAATAATGAAAAATATATTCCTATATCCGAATTACCAATATTCAAATCGTTTTCAGCAATGCATTCGATTCGGATTGGCTGTGTAGTCAATGTACTGTACAGATAAATTAACTAAATAAATGTGATTTGAAACGCAATGCACAGGACAAAGTCGACTATTCATGCAATGTGTATGTGAAGAAGAATGGAGTGATCTCCATATCAAGGTCTCTATTTCAAAAACCATAAATCATTCAGATCTAATATTTTGCAGATCTTAGTTGAAGACCACAAGCTATCTTACTGTGAAATTTGAACTAAATCGGAGGAGTCGAGAACAGAGGTTTACACAGTTGGCATGGAATGACTCCTATCACATTTTGAGACAAAATTTCTCATACTGCAATTTTTTAGAAAAAAAATTAATCTTTCATATTTTTATCAGAAATTTAAAGCTTCCATTAAAATCCTCAGCAACGTATATGACCTGGTAACATCAAACTCAAAGGAAACAGTTATATATAACAGAGAGTGGATAATTTCTAAAAAAAACAGCCATAGAAACAAACTTGGGATTTTCAGTATTTGTCATAAAGCCACATTTGTGAAGATAATGCATTAAAAGTTATATTATCTCAAAAGGTGGAGATTTTCTAGCTCAGGCTGTCTGACAACTGCTTACAAAGGCAACTATGATACAATTGCCTATTCTTTCTGGAAACACACATGTAGATATTGTAACTTGTTCTTAACAACATTTCTTTGTTTCTTTTGCATTTCTCAATAGAAAATAAATGACATCAAATGAAATTAGGGGTCTTTATAAATGTAACGACTTTCATTTAATTTTGGTTAACGGATTTAATACAATCACATAATTTTAGTTTAATGAGCTAATGCTTATTAAATCAAAAAATGATTAGATTATACTTTTTAGTCGAGTCCAAAAATTCTGACTGACTAATCTTTACTTTAGTTAATCAGAATGTTTGAAATCGAGAACAGATACCGAATATAACTCTAAACAAGGTTAAAAATGTCAAGAATTTCTTCATATAAACAAAAATAGTCGCATATATTCTGACGTGAAATGACCTCCCTTTACATTGGGTCATTAAATACCCAATTATTTTAAAGCAATATAAGTACTGAATGTTAAATATGCTAAGTATATAAATAATTAAAATATAAATTACTTTGACAAAACTAATGGAAGTAGTGGTTCCTTCGATGTCTAAAAGACAAACATTAATATTTTCCAATNTTGATTTCTTTTATTTACATTAATATTTTCCAATTTTCAACTTTTTCTTTTCTTAATGAAAATAATCTTACTTCTAATTTCATCAATATCTATATAATTTATGCGGGATAATATAAATTACTTTGACAAAACTAATGGAAGTAGTGGTTCCTTCGATGTCTAAAAGACAAACATTAATATTTTCCAATTTCAAGAAAGACATTTTGATCCTAAGTATATACCGTTATAAATTCTCGATTACTGTATCAAATATTATGCTTTTCGTAGCACACAAATATCCTTCCCAATATACAACAAACTTTAAACCGAACACGTGACTTTATTTATTATTTGTTCCGTTTTGTCACACAAGTGTCTAGTCCAACGAGATAGAATAACCGTACAGGCGGAAGCGCCACCAGACGTAAGCAACTTGAAACTCTGTCCGCCATGTTTCCTTTATTCAAAACAAGTAGCGGACTTCTAAACGTGATAGAAAGCACCATTTAGGCTGCGTACACACTAGGCGTTTTTAAACACGCGTTTTAAAGAACCAAGAGTTCTGCATAGGCATACACACTCAAACGCGCGCTTTTGGCCAAGCGCGCGTTAAATGCGCGTTTATAGATTTTTCTTAAAACGCGCGTTTTGCGGGCGTCAGCCCAGCGCTTTGAGATATATGTGCTGCCATGTTGTTGTACATTCGATCGCGCGCTTTCGGGTAGAGTGGACGTACGTTGGCCGAAATGAAGAACGATCATTTCGATACTGATCTATTTATTGATGAAATCTAAAAGAGACCAACCATCGTAAGAGGATTTTATAGATATTTTAAAAGAATTAAAAAACTTGGGTTCATTTTATCTTAGTTTTGGATACAACGTCAGAAACATTCCATGCGTCAGTCTATCTCGTAATATTGGGTGCACCCAAAATTCTCTTTACCTTTGCCATCGTCTTTTATAGCGACGATGGAGGAGGGGCACACAAGCAATTACTTTCACGTCCATTTCCAAACTGAGCCAATGCGTATGCTCCAATAAACGGTCGTCTAACGCCGAGCTAACGCGCGGTGTGTACGCTGCTAACGCGCGTTTAACGCAACGCAAAACGCCTAATGTGTACACAGCCTTAGCATTCAAATACAAACTTTTTCTAGCCATAGAGCGACTCTCACGCCAGTTATCGGCAACCTGAGGCATTTTTAACTGTACTTGAGAGGGCAGCGCAAGGACCAGTATATCTATCGACTCTGATAATACAACTACTGCTAGTTTTGTTGCCACTCTAGAAATAGTGAAACGGGAAGAGCCATTTATGGATTTTGTGAAAGATTGTTTTATTAAAATGTCTGAATATCTTTCTTGCGATTTTAAAAATAAAACAGAAATAATTGCTAAAATAAAAGATATGCTATTGTCCGCTAAGACTGTAAGAAACAGAACTGTTCGTACGACAGATGTAACTAGTCAGCAGGTTACGGATTTAAATTCAACACCAGGATTTTCTATTGCCTATGATGCATCTTGCGATGTGAATAATATTGCACGGATTGTACTTATTTGTAGATATGTTAACTCTGGCGGACCTCAGGAAGAGTTACTGCTACTTACTATAACCAGAATTCGTCTTCTCTACTTTCTTCGCTCCCAGTTGCGTTTCCTACGAAACGTTCCGAAATCATTTGTTTATCCTATGCGTGTGACCTAAACGTGGCAAAAGAAAATACGAAACACTAAAATCTTGTGTGAAGTTTCATCAGTTTTGAAATTTTTCGAAAGAATCGTTTACTTCAGACTTCGATATACATTCGCAAATAAAATTCTTTCTTTCTTCTAATGCCGATTTCCTTTCTGTTTCTGTTTGCAACAGTCGATTTTATTTGATTCTTACTTATAAACAAAAATCTGCTGAAACAGTCGCGTAAAGGAAACTGTTTCTTTCTGATCAAATGAGTCGCTTAGCCTAATAATTCTTATTGTTGTATTTAATTTTGTTTATAAAAGGATTTAAGTTAAATTACATTTTAAAATTATAAATAACAATTATTATATTTTAAAGGTTTGTCCTTAAATTACGTGTCATGGTTAGGGGTGGGAGGGGCATGAGAAAAAATCACAAAAGGTTTTTAAGCTAACGGTTACTTATGAGAATTTAGGTAATTCAATAAACGGTCTAAAACATACTGTGTAAAAATTATACTGGAATGGGTCCAGAGTGGATCCTGGGGCACTCCTCTACTTACTTTATAAAGAGTAGAAAATTTATTTATATTTCGGCTATATAAATTCTGATTGTAAAAGTACTTAAAAATTTTTTAAATAATAATTGTTCCACAAATTGAAGTATTTTGTTTAAAACCGTATTGACATAGATATCGAATTACTTTTAGTAAGAAAAGACACCAGGCTTTCTTAATTCACTGTCCACAAACTAAATTTTAAATGAAGTGACTATCGAAGAGTTCGGGTGTAAAAAATCCAGCAACGAGTTGCGTAACTTTCCGAACTGTTGAGATTTTTTTTCTTATTCTACACCCTTGGTTCATATGGAGATTATAGCCTGTAATGCTTTTTCTCCGAGAGACGAGTTATTGATCGCTATGCGACCGAAGAGCCGGCCGTATCTAACGGCTTATACGCACGCGCGGGAAATAATGCCGTCCGGGAGGACTTTTAAGGGGAACTGGCCTCCTATTCAGTCGTTATTGGCAAGGAGAAAACCCGGAAAACTCCTTGCAGCCAGCCTGTCCGACCGTGGCGCGAACCCACGACGAACCTCCCAGTCTTTAGGGTCTGGTCACCACTACGATGAGCGGCAACGGAGACCACTCGCCCACTGGTGGGGGCATGTTGAGATTTTTTCAAAATAATAACTTTTATATTATTAAGCATAATAAATAAAAATGTGTATGGCGCCATCTGTTATGAGATTTTACAATTAAAAAAATTTTATATTTTTAATTACTATAAAATGACAATAATCGTAATTTTGACGATAGCGATGAGTTTTATTAAAAATAAATAAATAACTGTAAATTTTAATAACGAGTAAAATCATTAAATTTGACCTTTCTCGAGATATGACAAATGACACTCCTTTATCTTTCCATCCCGTCGACCTTTAACCACCAAAATTTAATAGCATCAATCCTCCTAGTAAACAAAACTCCCTGTAAAATTTCAGAAAATTTCGACAAAAAGCACAGGAGTTATTAAGCTTGTAAACAGGGTGAACAAAATCGTCCGGACATTAATGTTAGTGTGTCTAAAACCTATTGTGAGTTGATAAATGTAAAACATCAACTCACAATAGCTTTTATTCAACTTCAATTTTGACAATTTTTTGAGTAGATTCGATCAACGCAACATTCTAATTCTGATCCGAATTAGTCATGAAATATCACCAGGGTTTTAACTCTCCACAGTTTCTCGGAGAACTAAAAATAGACTTTCATTGTTATCGAAACTGCAGGAGGCAACCGACAGGAGGGATGAGACCCAGGAGGTCTTTTCGACGCTGGATGAGTAACTGTAGAATGCGAGTAAAAACCAGTTCTTATTGAGATTCACGTGGATTAGGTCAATGAGTCATGAAAATGCAATTTTGAGATCGTCATTTCGTTTCGTATTCCTTAATCAATGAAAACAGTTCATTTTGTTTTTTGATAGCCTCAGAATTAGTTTTAAGAAGTTATTATTATCACAAGAATGTCTGAATAAATTGAATTGATACTTGTACTATAAAAAATAAATTACTCTAAAATATTATTTTGCGACTCTGAATTTACTTGTAATTTCAAAAAATTTTTCATGTGAGATATTTTATAACATTTCTGTTTACTAAAATATTTTGCAAAGTATTAATGAGGAGAATTAAAGTATTATTTTTATAGAATTAGTGGATGGTTTGGAATATCAATTATTAATTAATAGCCATTAATTTGTGTATTTAATTAATGATGAATAGTTAATTAAGTATTTATTAACAATTATAGGGTGATTGTGATATGAGAGAGATGTGTTTTTATAGAGCACAATTGTAAGATTTGTACAAATTAAGACAGAATTATTCTATAGAAATTCGGAAGGGTACTTTCCCGAAATCATAAATCGTAAATAATATAAGAATTTTTCAGCTTATTTTATGCATATAAATTAAAATTAATATACTTTTAAATAAGATAAAATTAAAAGAAATTTATAAATAAAATGTTATGTGTCGCGTGAGAAACACTTTTTCAAATAAAAGTTATAGTAAATATATTTATATTGCGAGTAACTTATGTTACTCACTGAGACTTTTTTCTTTTTTTGTGTGTGTGTGTTTTTTAATTAGCGATTAATTTTGCAAGATTTTTATTTATTTTTCTATTTACAGTTTGCTGTATCCGTGAATCACTTTTTCCTCACCTGGAAAGAAAGCTTGTATCCTGTGCAGAAATAATTATAATAGAATGAGATAATAGAAATGAACAAGAATATATAATACTACTGATGATAATAATAATACTACTGATACGCATAAACTAAAACTGTGTCGAATGACACAGTTTTATCTGCGTTTTATCTTGTTTTTATCTGCGTTTTAGTAGGATACTTATAATTAGTAGGATATGCCATGGCAATGCACAATAAGAAAGGATTTTTCGAAATTTCCCCGCGGAGGAAGAGGGAGAGCATTAAGGCTTAACGCCTTAACCGNCGAATAAAAGTTATAGTAAATATATTTATATTGCGAGTAACTTATGTTACTCACTGAGACTTTTTTCTTTTTTTGTGTGTGTGTGTTTTTTAATTAGCGATTAATTTTGCAAGATTTTTATTTATTTTTCTATTTACAGTTTGCTGTATCCGTGAATCACTTTTTCCTCACCTGGAAAGAAAGCTTGTATCCTGTGCAGAAATAATTATAATAGAATGAGATAATAGAAATGAACAAGAATATATAATACTACTGATGATAATAATAATACTACTGATACGCATAAACTAAAACTGTGTCGAATGACACAGTTTTATCTGCGTTTTATCTTGTTTTTATCTGCGTTTTAGTAGGATACTTATAATTAGTAGGATATGCCATGGCAATGCACAATAAGAAAGGATTTTTCGAAATTTCCCCGCGGAGGAAGAGGGAGAGCATTAAGGCTTAACGCCTTAACCGGAAGAACGGCTTCTACTGTACTATTTTAGATGCGATTTTTTGTTTTTATCTGCGTTGTGGTAGGGTATTCTATGGCAATGCACATTATACATTAATAATATTATAATACTACTGATTAATGTACACGATCATTTATTATATTAATAGTCTTAATACAGTGAGATTATTAAAATTTCGTAATGACTCAACAATATTATCAGTTCTAAAATCGATTTATTTTTATTATTATTTTTCGAAATTGAATTATGAAAAAGCATTCTAAATTACTTCAACTTATCTTTATTGATGACTAGCTGTTACCCGCGACTTCGTCCGCGGAGGTTTTGCAAGCAAATCCCATTTACATTCAATATTTCAATAACCATAGTAATTGTTATATAACACCCACCGCTGAAGAGAATTGCCGAGAATCAAGCGAACTATTTTCAATTTGATCAATTTCTGGAACGTTTACAATTGTTCTATAATCGAACCAATATGCAACAATAAATTCGAATTTAAAATGGTTCGAACATTTTTAAAATAGAAATAGATAAAAATATTTATAACAATGTATGAAATGTTATCAATTTAATACACCTAAGTACTCAATAAAGACTAAACGTAGTTGAAAACAAAAAATTGCATCTAAAATAGTATAGTAGAAGCCGTTTTTCCGGTTAAGTCTTAATTCTCTCCCTCTCCCCCGCGGGGGAATTTTGAAAAATCCGTTCTTAGTGTGCGTTTTCATGGCGTACCCTGTGTACCAAATTTCACCTCTTTAGGTTCAGCGGTTTGCTCTGGGCGATGATGAATCAGTGAGCAGTCAGGACAAGCAATTTTATATATATAGATTAGTTTAGAATTGTTAAGGTTAAGGAATTTTTAAGAAATTTTTACAATTTGCATATTTAAAATTTCATATTCATTAATTGAAATTAATTAAATCAGTTATTCGTAATGACTTTTCATATTCATTTATATCTAATCAAATAATCACTACAATTGTTAGATTTAAAATGTTTCAAATCACGTTTATTTAGTTTATCTGTACAGTAGGCCTACAGTACATTGACTACACAGCCAATCTGAATCGAATGCATTGCTGAAAACGATTTGAATATTGGAAATTCGGATATAGGAAAATATTTTTCATTATTTATAATGGGAAAAAATCTATATCGTTTCTGTTCCCTCCTATTAATTCTAATCAATTTCACCAAACGTCACTGAAACAAGTAGAAACTGACGCTGAGAACAGAGTCGCTCCCTACCAACTTTTACTAGCACGGGCACCATGGTCGAATGGATAAAACCACTGAACACTTGTAGTTGGTTGCTGGTTCACACCTGACCAACGGACTAGACACATGGATGTTTTCAGGTTCACTTAAAGTGTTTACACTGTGAGGGACCATAGTCCTGGCTCATTAATTAAGTTAGACGATGCACTAGAACCTCGTAATCATATTAATTTCTCGAGCCCCCACCCAAAAAAACACATTTTAACATATATTAATGACACCGACTCAACAATCCACCACACACCATCAGTCCACAGGATAGCTTCTTCTCTTCTCCTTGCCCAAAATTCCTCTCTCTCTCCCGAAAACATCGTCTTTCAGCACCTGCGCCGACCCGCTTCCTCCCATTCCAGGAACCGTTTTTGTTTTTATAAGGAGCGAAGGTGTTGACAAACATCTAAATGAGGATCAATTTCCAATAGAAAGTCCTCCTGAAAGGCATCACTTAGCAGATCGCCCAAGTGTTGCGTTGCTCTCTTTTATCAAGCTTACAATTTTTACTAGCACTATTTTCGAATTTTTCATAAATGCGCTTCAAAAAAATTTGTAATCCTGTGATTTCTTGATTCGAATATTGCGATGAGTACTAAAAGACATTATTCGTTGTAGTGGGCATTCAGATACGAGATGTATTTTGAAAGTTGACTCGTTTCCTCTCTTTGTATGTTTTCAATTAAAGTCGTGGTATTCTTAGTTTAAACTTATAAACACTGTTAAAATTACATTACAGAAAATCAAATTAAATGACAAATTTCAGTAAATGTAACAGTAATTTAATTAAATAATTAAATGCGAAACGTCAAAAAAATTTGGTGGTGATCACACAATAATTCTAGCTTTCTTTATTATTGTGAGCATCTTATAAAGAATCAAATATAACTTCTGTTCAGGTATCTCTTTACCTTCAGTATGAATTTCTTTGATTCATAACGGAATTAACAAACTGAAAGAAAATTAATCGAACAAATCAAACAAAAGCGATGCGAAGAAACAAAATAATTTTCGTTAAAGGAACATAATTTTGAATTAAAAGTTAATGACTTTTATTTTACTTAAAATAGAATTTTTTAAAAAAATAATTTAGATTTTGTTAGTTTAATTTATTATTACACTTCAAAAGAGTGCAAAGATGGTATAGTTTCCCACAAAGCTGGCTACTTTGATGTAGAGGAGTGCTTTGCAGCAAAGTAAGATTTACAGGCGACAAAGTCTTAAAATGAGTATTACTGTATTTAGATTTCTTTTCTTTTGCAATATTTCACTTAACTTAGAAAATAATTCAATTTGTTTTAAAAGAAAATTAATCTCATTACCAATTTAAATTTTATTCTGTTAATAATATAATTATACGAGTGTTATCAAAAACATATTTAATTCACTTATTGAAGTTCATTAAAAAATCATGGTAGGCTACTGGTAGTAAATTATTATAATACCATAGCAAGAGCACAATTTCCTGTGTAATAACGCTATAATTTAAAGGAATTTAGTGCCTTAAGATCTCCTCTTGTATGGATACCTGAGACGATAGGGTCAGGCATACTGGCGTACTGGCACAGTATGCTAATCTGCGAAAAATTTTCCTGCAAACATTGCAACTATCAGATATCTCACACTCGTAGATAGCCGAAACTAACGTTCTATCTGGTCCTACAAATGCTCGATGAATAACAAATCTGGAAACCGTGCAAGCTAAGGAAGTATGACAACATAACAGAGACATTCCTGGGAAATCCTGTTTGTATCTTGCTGGAAATGAGACAAGACATGAAGTACAGGATTTCCTGAATGGTACGGGAAATGGCAAGGTTCTATAGCGAGGCTTCCACCTGTCTCTAAATGATGGACAAAGATGCTATTGCAGTTGTTTGTGCTTGTCTCATGATTAGACGATCATATCTCTTGGTGGTATGTCTGAGGTGTACAAAGTCTGCTCATCGTGTACGTGGTAGTCTCCCGTATCCACTGCTTCCAGAATCTCCTCACAGTTACGTAAGAAGGCCCAGATGGCTATAAATTCAGCAAAAACGGCCATCCTGCTTCTCTCAGTCTGATGATGCGTCCTTTCAATTCCGTCGGCTGTGTGTCATGTCTTTGATTGCGTCGTACAAGAATACCGGGATTCAAAAATCTCCAAACAACAGGAACATTGAACATTCGGAACACAGTGAGTATTTTTATATGATACTAAGGCTATTTTAAGTCATTCTAATAACATTACCTGATATGTAATCGGACCACAACTGTAATTATTTACATACTTGTCTAAGACAACTGTACGCTGAGTTTTGCAGTAATCGGACAATTCTTTCTGGATGCGTGAATTAGAGTATCATTACATTTATATGATAGAGATCGAAATAAAACATATACAAAGACAACAATTAACTTTCCGTAAAAAATTAGAAAACTTACAGATATAAATAATTTACACAGTTTTCCAGTACAGAATATTGTAATTATTAAATCAGAAGGAAACAGTACTGTGAGATTTCGAGTTTTAGATAAAATATTCTAGAAAATGGATAGAGAAAAACGTTAAAAAAATTAAATATAATAAATCGAAATTATTATCAAAGTTACACATCAAAGAGAACAAGGAACAATTCTGTATTGACAGTCAGTTCCTGAGAGAGATTTTTATCTCCCATGACTAAAAGGGCTGACTAACTCAAAAGACTTATCGACCACACCCAGTCAGATGATCCTTAAGCTCGATCTCCATTAGAAGAGAAATTGAAAAGTATAAAATAAAGATGCGCGCTAAAATCAAGTCACTTCAGCTCTTCAGCGCCTCAGTATGTCTTTGTTTAACTATTTAACTAAGTGCCATAGTTCCTCATATAAGTAACTTCCGCCCAAGACTATGAATCGCAAAAGTCAAGTTATCACAGAGGTAATATAATATAAAATAATATCGTTTGTAAACTCTCACTCTCAATCTCTAGGGACCTAGTTTAAGAATTAATCATTAAGGTTTAATCACAGCTAGACGTCATTTAGTTTGTTCATTTGTGTTCTTTGTTATTCATTAAAGTTTTGTTAATTTGTTAATGGGACTTGATTCTACGGACTCCTATCACTTACGTGTCTCTCCATTCAAACGAGCCCTTCTAATCGAAATAGAAGAATCGCGAGTTAACCGCGAAATAATAGTTTAACTGGTGTCAACATCCTGACGTGGATCTTGATTTCACAATCTAGATCCTTTTTTACCGCTCGTAGTTTAGTCTTCCATTGACGTAGAGATCGGATCTCACGATCTTGTGCAGATTAAGTGGTCATTAGAATTCATCCTAGACCCCCTGTTTATCTCACAGTACTGTGAAGAAAATGAAACATAAATTTAGAATAATATTTTTAAATCTTTGTTTTCATTCTATTAAAAAAAAAAACTAATAGAAATTTCAACGCAATTGTTTCTGAACAAGGAGAAATTTTATTTGGAAATGACAAAATTTCTTATGATAGACAGATAGAAATCTATTAATTAAACTGTGTTCTTGAATTTTGGCATCAGTCTTCATGCCAAAATTCAAGAACACGTTGATATGTTTGGCCATTCTTGATGCCAAATGATGCCAAAGTAAATATTGTAAAGGTTATTTGAGACTTTTCCCCCCTCACAAATACTTTTCCGGGTTTCTACATGTTTTTAAAAAATTCTGAATTCTTTTTATAAAATCCTTTAAAATTTATTTTTTTATTTTGTTAATAGAATTATTTAGTTTTATTTAAAACATTTTTAACGATTACCATAATATATTTATTACACCAAATTGTTTATTATTATTAATATATAGATATTATTCACCCTTAAAATTTTTATGTCATTTTTTAATCAAAATCAAATAAATTAATATTAATTTACTTGATTTTGATTAAATATTTGATGATAATTAAATTTATTTAATTAAAATGAATAAACTAATCTTAATTAACGAAATTTAAACAGTAATTTAAAATAATATAAAATTAATTATGTTTTGTCTCATTCTTGATTGTTCTCGTTCCTCACTCCAAAATCACATTTAAACTTTTCTGGAATATTTGAAATTTGTTAATCGATATCTTTATCGATAAAGTTATTAGACCTATTTTTAACTGGAAGCTGGTTTTTAAACTAATTATCCTATTTTTAGCGCTAAATAATCGTAATTTTATAACATAAAATGGTGATTATTTAACTCGAAATGTAAGAGTTTTACAGTAAATACGGATTTTACAGTACAGTCGCTTTAAAAACGTTGTCGTAAAACAATTATAAAATTGAATATTATTTAAGAGATTCGCCAATTAGTTAAAGTAATTTAAGAAATTGCATTTTAGAGTAAATTTTATTTCGAAAAATTTCGTGTGGAAGCTAAATTTTATTTTTTAAAAAATAAATATCGGGCGCGTCGTGTGGTAAAGCGGCTTTAATAGCGGTCGGATATTCAAACCAATGATATAGTCCGTTTCAAACGAAAACGACTGTAATTGGCTCGCTTATCCAGCTGTATTAAAGTCGCATTCAATAGAACATCATAAAATTTCCTCTTTAATTCTTTATAATACGCCGAGAAATGCGCATTCAAATTTATTCGGTTAGAAGAAAGGATCGGATTACCGAATATAATTTAAGTTTATAAAATATAAGAATAACGTTTATTATTTTTTAATTTTTAAAATATAAAAATAAATATATAACAGAAATAACAAAATGTCGAATTTATATTCGTACCAATGCAGGGATGTGGCTAAACGACGACGTAACGCTAGAGGGCGTTATAATGCTGTCTGCATTTTCGGATAAAGATAGAAAAGCAGTGGAGGTTTGAGATGTTATTATTTAGATGAGAATCGACATATAATTTTAGGTAAGAATAATTTTACTTACTTTCGTCGTCTGGTTTATTTCGAATATTTTCATGTTTATTTATACTCTCATTGACGTATTTATTGTGTTAATGACAAGCGACGACGTGAAATGACCGCTCGCGCTTTTTTTTTTTTAATTTTATTTATTTAATTTAATTTTCGCCGGTATAAATTATTCTACAGAATACGATTCTTGAAATTAATCCAGAAAAATATTTGACGAATTTCGGATTTTTAAAAATAGAAATAAGCTGAAATTTAAACGAAAATGTCATTTTAATCGATGCGTAGCTTATGAATATAAATAGCTTCGTTCATGTTAATTACTACATAAACTAAGAATTTTTCGTTCCTAAAATATCTTCAATAATTGCAGAAATTACTGGTTTTTTTAATAAAAAAAACAAATTAATTAAATTTCAAATTAAATTATTACTCTTTATATATAAACTAGCTGCAAGGACCCGCTTCGCTGGGTTTTTATTTGTGGGCAAAAAGTAACGATAGTGAAGATTAAGATAATTACATTATAGCCAATCTTACCCGTTTTCACAGAATGCAAGAATTAGGTC